TTCAGATAATTTCAATTCACCTGACTTCGAGTTTACTGATTCTAAACAAAATAACTGGGAAAACAACATATTTGCAAGAAATGTTTGCTCAAGATCTCAAATAAGATCTATATTATTCAAATAGTTGTTCCAATCTGCCAAATAGAATAATGGGCACAATAAAACAAAATAAAGAGGCAGTTTATAGAAGAGCAGATCCAAGCAGGCAGAAAAGGTGTGATAACGTAATAGTCAGGGAATGGGTATTGAGTAACCGCAAAATACCACTTCACACCTGTTGGGACAGGGGTAATGCCGTTGCTGCCGGGTATTGACGTGTGAGGTGTTACACCTTTTGTGGAAAGAATGTGACATGTTCGAATAAAAAATACGCTTATCCTTCAACCCTGGCGATCCCATAGAAATGAAATGTCATTGCAAATGGGTGTTGTGCACAGACTGTGTTTGTGGCAGCATTGTTCATGGTGGTAGAAAAGTGGACACTGGCAGAAAGCCCATCCGTGGAGGGTGGCTGAAGAATCAAGCAGAATTTCTGCGTGCAATAGTGTGTAACCACTGAAAATAGTGAGTGACAGTTGTAACTCCACAAGGTATTGTGTGAGTAAGAAAAGCAAAATATAAAAGAAAGGTCTGTTGTGCCCTTTACAAAAAAACCACTATGTCAGAAGAAAACCCATCGTGTGTGTGTGTGTGTGTGTGTGTGCGCGCGTGTGTGTGTGCGTGTGTGTACGTGTGTGCGCGTGTGTGTACTGCAGCGTGGAGAGGGCGCGGGAGGTGCACACCAGGTGGTGGGGCCGGGGAGGGCGGAGAGAGGTGATGATGTGGGCGGGGCCCCGCACCTCACGCTAAGGGAAGAGAAGGAGCAAAGGGCACCACAGACAATTAGCAAAACATAAAACATGTTTGACCACACTGGTCCTCAGAAGCAAATGGAAGAAACAGAGAGGAGGTTTTCACCGTCGGGTTGGCAGAGATTGGCGAGATCGGTGTCTCCTGTGATGAGAGTGCAGGACAGTGGGTAGGTCGCTCTCGCCAGTCTCAGGAGCAGCCTCTCTGGAGGGCGTTTGGTCATAAATTGTGCATAGTCCTCACCCCTCAGTTTCGCATTCCAGAGTTCATCCTGAAAACTATCAGGGACAGCCAGAATGATTCCTGTGTAAAAAAGCTCATCTCGACAATTTATAATTACAGTAAACACTGAAAACAGTCTAAATGTCCAGACTAGGCGATTGGATAAGTGAGTTACGATAATCCATAGACGGGAATACTGTGCAGGTGTTAAAGGTGTGGTGTTTAGAAGCGTATTTACTAATGAGAAATGTTCAGAATTTCCAGAGTGACAGAAACGGCACAGGCAGTGCTGTTTGAACCTGACAGACGCCCTGTTGCACATGTTATGTGTACACTTTTTAAAAAGTCTGAAAGGATAAATGCCCGTGTGTTAACTATCATTAGCTCTGATCAGTGAAGTTATAGGAGGTTTTAATTTTTGTGACTTTCGTGGTTTCTCATATTTTCTAAAGTAAACGTGAATTACTTTTATGTTTAGGAAAATCTGTGTAAGATGTGTGTATTGGGACAGAGCTGCTCCACTGGACTGGAATGTGCGTTGGAGGCTCTGCCGGCCCAGCAAGTCTGTTCTGATGTACCGCGGAGGGGGAGGGGCTCTCCTGGGCTCTGAGCAGCTGGCAGGTCCCAGAGGAGGCTGCCCCAGGGCAGTGGAGGTTTGTGCCACGGCACCAGCACCTTCCACAGGCCCCTAGCTGTGCCCGCCTGGGGTGGTGGGCCCCGGGTCTGTCTTCAGGACTGACGCGGCCCCCAGAGCACAGCTCCTGCAGATGAGGTTATCACTTTAGGTGGCCTTGCTGGTGAAGGTCAAGGGTTCTTACCAAATAGATGCCAGTGGTGCCTCTTTCTGGCTTCTTCCTTTGACATTCTCTTTAGGGTGCAAACCACTTCTTTTAGAGACGGGAAGCAAAGCCCTTGATTATGTCGGTGAAGATGACCCAGATTGTTTGCACAGGAAATACTTGGTCACATGAACCTTCATTTGATATTTGAGACCATCCTAACAACCTAGCCAAAAAAAAAAAAAAGAAAAAGAAAGAGGCCGGGCGCGGTGGCTCACGCCTGTAATCCTAGCTCTCTGGGAGGCGGAGGCGGGCGGATTGTTTGAGCTCAGGAGTTCGAAACCAGCCTGAGCAAGAGCGAGACCCTGTCTCTACTAAAAATAGAAAGAAATTAATTGGACAACTAAAAATACATAGAAAAAGTTAGCCGGGCATGGTGGCGCATGCCTGTAGTCCCAGCTACTCGGGAGGCTGAGGCAGGAGGATTGCTTGAGCCCAGGAGTTTGAGGTTGCTGTGAGCTAGGCTGACGCCACGGCACTCACTCTAGCCCGGGCAACACAGTGAGACTCTGTCTCAAAAAAAAAAGAAAGCAAGCTCCACAGTCCTTTCCTTGTGCTTTGCTTGGCTTGGAGCAGGAAGAAGTCCCTGTTGAATTCGGCCAGGAGGAGCTTCTGCAGGGGCCAGTGCAGCCGGAGGAGTTCGTGGCCATCGCGGACTATGCCGCCACTGACGAGACCCAGGTAGTGTGTGCGGCAGGCCTGCGTTACGGGTTTCAGCATGCTCAAGGCAGAATTAGACATGAATTTTGCATAAGTCATGCCAAAGTCAAAGAAGCGCTCAGACATTCAGAGCCGCCCCAGCCCTGTGTGTGGTGATGTCCTAGCCTCGCACGTGTGACCCCAGCGTGGTGTGAAGACACCTGGGTGAGGCCTGGGCAAGAAGCACCTGTCCTGGGTTCTGCTTGGAGACCTTGATTTAGAAAGTACTCAGTTGATGAAAAGTAAGGCTATCAAATAAAAATATCTGCTTGAATGTGGCTGTTGTTACTTTGTGACAGGAATTTCTTAGGGTTAGCCTCCAGTAACTAAGTAGGCTGTGGCAGAGTTGAGCTTTAACTGCAAAGAGGCCATTGAGAAGTTCTGTCCTGAGCCATTTGGAAATATTTACTCTTTCTTTCAGAAAGTATCGTTTTAAGCTGTGCCCTTCCTTCAGGTGGATATTCCACAAAAATCCCTAAATCCTGGTGTCACTTTCATAAGTTGTCAGATGCTGTAATTACCCACTGACTCCTTTTTGAAATCGCTGGGATTTGGTCACCATTGATGGGGGATTTGCCACTGAGCCACACTTGAAATGCTAAGTACTGGTTTTTCTGTTGAATTTTAACTTCCTTTTTTTTTTTGCAGCTCAGTTTTTTGAGAGGAGAAAAAATTCTTATCCTGCGACAAACCACTGCAGATTGGTGGTGGGGTGAGCGTGCGGGCTGCTGCGGGTACATTCCCGCAAACCATGTCGGGAGACCGCTGGAGGAGTACGACCCTGAGGACACCTGGCAGGACGAAGAGTACTTTGGCAGCTACGGGACTCTGGTACGGCACTGGGCCAGCGGGCGGGTTCTTCTCTCTACTCTCAGGCTCTGACTTTCCAAAAATAAGTTCTGGGCTTGTCCTCCTCAGGCCAGGTGCGCAGCGCTGTGCTGCAGGTGCGTGAAGCAGTGGGCGTGGTTGTGTGCCAGCGAAATTTTATTTATGGACACTGGAATTTGAATTCTATTCAATTTTCATGTGTAACAGAATCATCTTCTTTTGATTTTTAAACATTACTTAAAAATCTAAAAGGCATTCTTAGTTTGGAGGCCATATAAAAACAGGTAGTGGCTGGATGTGGCCCACGAGCTGTGGTTTGCTGACGCCCGGTCTAGAGGTATTATTTGAGCAATGGGATTATGCGCTTCTCTCAGTATTTAAAACAAGGAGTACTTTGTCTTTGGATACTATGCTTGCATTTGTGTTTCAGAGCCAAATGTTGCAACGTTTCCTTGTAACTACCAATATGCAAAGAAACATGTTTTTATAATAAGTTTGTTAGTTCATGTCGTTAAGCAGTTTTCTTGTCAAACTCTTTTTCATCCACTGAAAGAAAACAGATTATGATGCATCTTTTAGAAAGTATGCTTACGTTTGTGTTTTATGGCTGGATATTCTAAAAAACAAGTAATAAATTTTACTGTAAAAATAAAATAGAAAAAAATACATATCAGTGATCAATAACACTTCTAAACAGCCAGTTTATTAGTGTTTTTCCCTGCTGTGCAGAAAGGCCATAATCTCATGGCCCAGGCAACAGACCCTGTTACATGTTAAGATGAGATGAAAGCAGTTACTTGCCGGGTGAATGTTGCAAAAATAACGTGGAGTAAAGAAGGAATAATACATAACATTTGATTCAGTTTTATAAAGTTATGGGGCAATGTTGAAAGGTGTTGTTTATGAATGTGCATGAGTGGTCTAAGGGCAGGAACCTGGTGCCCCAGAGTCTGGATGGAGGTTACCTGTTGGGGGGGTGTAGTTGGAGACAAGTTACATGTTAGAGGGTGGTTACCTGTTGGAGGGAGGTTACGTATTCGAAAGAGGTTACCTGTTGGAGGGAAGTTACCTGTTGGAGGGAGGTTACCTGTTGGAGGGAGGTTACCTATTCGAAAGAGGTTACCTGTTGGAGGGAGGTTACCTGTTGGAGGGAGGTTACCTGTTGGACAGAGGCTCTGGACCAGCCTTGCTTGGGTCGGCAGTCTGGGTTGCTGGCGGTGTTCGGGTGTGGGTTACACAGGTGTTTGCTATATAACTATATTTGATAAACTGTACAGATTCTTTTTAATACACTTTTTCTAGGCACACCTTATTTCCCAATTTAGAATGTTAAATTAAAAACCACTAACGTATATACGTGGCTAGAGCTTTCAATCCTTTAAGGAAAGATACGTAATGAAAAGCCGAAGTCCACTTCCCCGCTCTGCAACCCCCGGCCCAGAGACAGCCGCTGCCCACTGAGGTTCCTGTGTGTCTATGCCACATCCAAGCAACACCTATTTTATTTTAAAAAATTTATGGAAGAGGAATCATTGCACACACACAGGTCTTTACCTTCCCCTTTTCACAGTTGTGTTATTTTGAAGATACTGGCACTGGTGGTTCTTTGTAACAGCTGCAGAGCATTGTGTTGTTTCAGAAAGATCGTGTTGGTGGACAGTGGTTATTTAACAGGTTTTTATCATGATAAGTAACCCTGTTAACCTACTGTTAGAATTTCCATAGGGTAAATTCCTAGGGTATAAATGTACATATGTATCTATATATGTGTGTGCATATTTCCTAGTAGATATATATATATATATATATATATATATATATATATATATTTTTTTTTTTTAGTGGATCTTGCCAATTTGCCTTCCAGAAAGATTTGCTAATTATGCACTGTCTTGGTTTGTGCTTCTATAACAAAATACCTCAGCCTGGGTAAATTATAAAGAACAGAGATTCGTTTCTGTCGTTCTGGAGGCTGGGAAGGCTCTGGGGGCTGGGGAGGCAAAGACAGAGGCTCCCCACAGCTCTCTTGTGAGGGGGGCAGGACCCCACCTCTGGGCACCATCACGTCGGCTGTTAAGTTTCAGCACTTGACCTGTGGGAACGTTCGGACCACGGCCCACACTGGCCCGCGGTGTGCGAACGCGCCTTCCCCTGCCACGGACTGTCAGTGGGAACAGGTTTCTGGTCTTGAAGGTGAAATGTGCTATCTCTTGATTCTGATTTCCATTTTTTAAGTGAGATTGATTATCTTCTATGTGTTTGTTGGTCTTTCCTATTTATTTTTGGGTAAACGTTCATATGATTTGCCCATTTTTCTTATTTCTGATGGTTCACATGTTGAGCCGGTTTAGTTGGAGTGGTTTGGGCTGAATTTGTGACGTGTGCCGCACTCACCACTTGCCGCTCTTTTTTTCCTACGTAGAACTTTTTATCTTTGCACAGTCTGATATGTTTTTCTTTTCTTAGTGGCTTCTGGGTTTTGTGTCCCGCTTTGAATGACCTTCCTCATGCCAAGATTACAAATTTCTATACTTCCCTTTAGAACTGTTAAGGTCCTGTTTTAAACAGTGGGGTATTTTAATCAATCTGGAATTTATTTGTTATAAAGAATAAGGTAAAATTCCTCCTTAATTCACCTCCACAAATACCTGGCGCTGCCAGCATCTAGATAATTTCTAATACCTAGAAATTCATTCCTAGATATTTTTTGCTCATTATTACGCTGTAGGGGGTGGGAGACGTGCCCTGTAGGTGTCGGTGGGGCTAAGCTACTTGATGGTGGCTGCGGCCTTCCCTGGCCTTGCTGATTTTCTGTCTGCTCCTGTCAGTTGCTGAGCGGAAGGTGTAGAATTCTCTGACCGTAATTGTCGATTTGTCTATTTCTTCTTGCCTCTCTATTGGATTTTGCTCCCTGTTTTGAAGCTGTTATTAGGGGCAAAAACATTTAGAATTGTTACTTTCTTTCAATGGGTCGATTCCTGTGTTACGAGCTCGTGGCCCCGGGATTGCTCTGCTCGGAGCGTCACGTGGCTGCCCCAGCGTTCTTTCAGTCAGCGTTGGCAGGGGCTGTCTTTTCTGTCCTTGTCTTGCAAGCAGATTAGTTGAGCCTCCTCTTTTGTCCACTCCTCCCGCCTGTCCCTTTGTTCTTCATTCCATGGTGTCTTTGTGGGGCACCTCGATGGGCTCCTGGCCCCTGCAGACCGCCTGTGCTGGCGCTGTGGGGGCCTCCTGGGCTCTGCTCCTACCTGCGGCTCCTCTGCCTGCAGGAGGTGCCATCTGGAGGCCGGGCTTGCTGCGGCCTGCGGTGTGGGACGGGGCCACAGCCAGGGGCTCTGGCCACTGCCTTGCCGCTGTCCTCTGCCTCCCAGGCAGGCTGACCCTCAGGTTGGCATCCCAGGGTTTCGGGTGTTTTCCTCAGACTGTCCCTGAGGGTTGGCCCCGAGCTACCGTTCTGGCTTGTGTGTGAAGACGACTCTGGGGGCCCAGCTCACGTCTCCTGGCACTGCCCGTGGTGTGTCTGCTGTTCGCCCCGACGGGCACCTGGCCCAGGGTGTCTGGTCGGCACACAGCGGCCACTCCTGTCTCGGGTGGGCAGGGTGGGGTGATACCCCAGCCTCAAGGGGTCCACCGCTGCTTCACTGCTCATCTGGCTCTCGGGGAGGTGCAGGGAGAATCTGCAGCCAGTGCCGAGCTGAACTGGAGGGATTGCAGAGACTTCTTTTCCATTCCTTCACTGTCCACTTTCATTTTTATCTGTTGGCATATTTTGATCTCTTGATTTTTTTAAACCGAAAGACCATGTTTTGCTCTTGTTTGTTGCTCGTACTTTTATATGTGGGTTGGGCATCCTCTGGGGCCCTGACCCTGCATCTCAAACCAGCACTGGGCACAGCTCTGGGACACAGGCAGTGATTCCCAACCTGTGTCTCCTCTAGAAACTCCACTTGGAAATGCTGGCAGACCAGCCACGAACCACTAAATACCACAGCGTCATCCTGCAGAACAGAGAGTCGCTGAAAGACAAAGTCATACTGGATGTCGGCTGCGGAACTGGGATCATCAGCCTTTTCTGTGCGCACCACGCGCGGCCCAGAGCGGTGAGTGGGCGAGTGTGTCGGGCCGCGTCTGTGCGAGGTGGGCGATAGGCCCAACATGGCCAGAGCACCCCTGGGGACTCTCTGGGAGTCACCATCTACTGGGGTCTCAGCGAGTGTCCTCGTGTGCGAGGCTCCGTGTCACTGAGCCAGGCAACCGCTCAGACTGCAGGCCGAGCCCCTTTGGGGCTATGACGCCAATTTGACAAGCCACAGACAGCACCGAGGGGAACAGGGCGGAACAGCAGGAGTTTGAGTGAGTCGCGTGGGGCGGGTGTTTCTGTGAGATGTTTATTTCGGTTACACACAGACACAGGTGCAGCCTCACGTCTGCTGGGCTGCGCGTGAGGGTGGCCTCCCTGCCCCCTGCCCACCTGTGTTGCGCTGAGGTTCGGCCTCAAGGGGCTCCTGACGCAGTGTGTGAGGTCGCAGCACAGCAGCCATGGGCCCAGGATGCAGGACTCTGGCACTGTTTCTGAGAACCTGGACTCGAAATTGTCTCCCAGGCGGCAGATGCACTAACAGGCTGGTGGTTCCCAGTGGGTGCTGAGAGCCTGCGATGTGGTCGTGGACCGTGTTTGGACTGTGTTTGCTCCGTGTGGAAACCGGGCCGCAGGAGGCTCTGTCCACCTGCAGCCCCGTCTGCGTGTTGTGAGGAGGTGTGGGAAGCAGGCAGGGTTAGAGAAGCTCCTTTCCTGGCACCATCGGGGGTGCAGAGCTGTGCGTGGCTGGCGGCAGGCGTGGCCTGGCCTGGCCTGCACTGTCCTCCGCCGTCGGAATGCTGCCTCCTTCTGTGTTGTTGACTGTGTTTTGGTGCTGGCTGTGACTCGAGAGGAGATGACAGGCTGTTGCGGGGGCTCAGCACGCACTGATGGCGCTTCTGCCGCCGCAGGTGTACGCGGTGGAGGCCAGCGAGATGGCCCAGCACACGGGGCAGCTGGTCTTGCAGAATGGCTTTGCCGACACCATCACCGTGTTCCAGCAGAAGGTGGAGGACGTGGTGCTGCCTGAGAAGGTGGACGTGCTGGTGTCCGAGTGGATGGGGACCTGCCTGCTGGTAAGGGTTAGGGTGGGGGTCAGGGTTAGGGTTAGGGTGGGGTGGGGTGTGGTGCTGTGGGGCAGGGCCACGGCCTTCCGAATACAGGCACAGCCCCGGGCCAGCCTCAGGAATCTTCAAAAATCATGATTAAGTTTGATTTTTTTTCTTAAAGTGAGGTGTCCTTTTCTCATTTGGACATTGGCCCAGTGTCTTGAATTTTTAACAGATTAAAAAATTCTTTCACGAGAAATTTAAATCAGAGTTCATGTAACTTTCTCATGAGTGATTTGCTGTGTTCTCCTTGGGAACCTGTAGAAATCTGTGCTTAACACACGAGGTTGTGTCTTTCACGCCAGCAGGGCCCGGCCCGGGGACGCTGTGAGAACCACAGTTGGGTGACCATGATGGGGTGATGTGGCCTTCCCTGTCGTGTGCTCTGAGTCTCACGTGTGGGCGGCCGGGGACCATTCTCTGGTTATTTGCCCACTCCGTCACCAGTGCTGTCAGCCTGGAGGGAGAGCGACGCCGCTGCCCAGCCTCTGCTGTGGGCGTCTGGGAGTGCTCTGTTCAGTTCAAGGAAGAAGAAAGAATTTAGGCCAAAATCGTCACCAGATTATGAACAATTCTCTAAACAAAAGAAACGAAGTAATTGCTGAGGTTACCAAAGATGGAATAATTCTCACAAGGCCTACTGCTGTTTTGTTGACTGCATTTTTAAAAATCCTGAGCTTAACAAAAGTCTTTGTAAGTCGACCCATCAAAACAGGCATTTGGCCAATAAGAATTTAATTTCACACCAGTAAAACTGTAGATTTTAGATTCATTTAGGGCTGTTTGCACATGTTTACAGAATGTTTAGTTTACTCTGAAAGACGACAAGACCCTGCCCTAAACGTAGTTGCTTTATTGATACGGCGAGAGGACGAGTCACAGTGGAAGCTTTCAGTTTGTGGCACCGAATGGTCCACAGGGCCCTGCAAAGACCACAGTTGAGGGTCCGCCCGCGTTTCAGCAGAACGAGCCGCTGCAGGTCTCCTGGCCTGTTCACGTGACATGTGTGTTTTTTTTGCCGTGTAATTTCTTTTTCGTTGGGTCCTGGGAGCTCTCGTAGGTTGTTTTACTTTTCAGAATTGCCAGTGCTGGTGTCCACAGGAAAGAAAACATCGACTCTTCCTTTCTGGATTCCTTGGTCTCACGGCTGGTGTCACACGAGGCGCAGCAAGTCCTCTTCAGGGGTCGTCCCACGGATGCCTGAGAGGCTGCGGTTGCACCAGCAGCTCTAGCCAGGGCCTCTCGCCTTCTTCTGCAGCGAGGTGCTTTTGTCCGCACTGAGACAAAAAACAACAGCCTTCTTTCTTTTCTGGATTTCTTCTGGTGCGGAGCGTTTCTGAGCTTTCCTGTCAAAGCGGCGCACTCTGCCGGCACCTCGCACCCCTTAGGCCGCTTTGCCCTGGGACGCAGGAGGGAGCCAGTGGGCGCAGCATCCTCACAGTGGCAGAACCCAGAGACCAAGCACCAGAAAATTTGAAATGAATTATCCTAAGAAAGTATAATAATAGATTTGTGCAGAAATTTATGTTAAAAAATTTCTTGGCAACACCATTTAAAATGGAAGGAAATTGGAAATAATAGAAATAATTAGGGCTGTCCATATGATCATTAAAAATTATGTTTTAGAAAGATTTTTAACAATCTTAGGAAAAAGTTGTTGATATGTTGCTGGTTTTACAAGAAGCACAAAGAGTATTTACAGTGTGATTCTAATTTTGTTTTTCTAAAGTTATACACAGCAATGACCTACCTTCAATCCCTGCTAATCCCACTGAGTGCAGCTGTAAATCCCGGGCAGGATGCAGGGAGAAGCTACTTGAGGAAAAATGGATAGAAGCAGGTACATTGGGGAAGAAGCAGAATTTTGAGTACAGGCAGCCGTCTGTATCTGTGGGTTCCACGACTGCAGATTCAACCAACTGTGGATTGAAAATACTCGGAAAAACCAAATAACGATATGACAAAATTTAATGCAAATAAAAAGCCAATACAGTAGGACAACTATTTACACAGCATTGACATTGTATTAGGTGTTGTAAGTTATCTAGAGATGATTTAAAGTGTAGGGGAGGCAGTGCTTAGGTTATGTACAAAAAATACCATTTTATATGGGGGACTTGGGCATCTGAGGATTTTGGTTCTGAGGCGGACTGGTTGCAGGACCAGGATACCAAGGGACAGCTGTTTGTCACCCGTGGATACCGAGGGCTTGAGTTTGTCATTTTCCCCATGTGGTTCGCACACTGTACGTAAGTTCAAAAACTTAGATGAGATGGACCATTTCCTTTGGAAATTGCAGTTACCACAGTTCTCCCAAGATGAAACAGCCTGAATGGTCCAGTAACTAATAAAGATACTGAATTCATACTTAAACTAATCAAGCAACCTTCCGAAAGTGAAATCTCTAGGCCTAAATGATTTCACTGGTGAATTCTACCAACACATTTGAAGAAGACATAACTTCAATTCTGAACAGTTTCTTTCAGAACATACAAGAGGAGGGAATACTTCTTGGCTCATTTTATGAGGTCGGCATTGCCCTAATACCAAAGCCAAAGTCAGTACATGATATGAAAACCACAGACCAATAACCCCCGTGAACAGAAATGTAAAAACTCTCAAGGAAACCTTAGCAAATTCAGGGGCTGCAGCACAGGACCCTATTCCTGGGAGCTAATGGACTTACCTGCCCAGTGCCCAGCCTTCTGGTGCTGCACACCACACTCCTCATCCCCCGGCAAGAGCCACCTCAGCTGCCCTTCCCTGCAGCACCACACTGTGTGTTTGGGCCGGGCGGCAGCCGAGAATCCCGAGAGGTGACTTCACCAAGGTGCCCAGTGAGGGGCAGAGGTTGGATGCTGAGAGCCGTGGCACCTTCAGTGGCAGGTCAGAGGCGCCCAGTGAGACCTAGCTGCTCCGGAGCCTGAAGAACAAGAAGAACGAAAACCTTCACCCACCCCCCAAACTCTCCAGCAAAACCACCACCAGGTCATCCGCTAGCGCTGAAGGAATGCAGAAGCAGCTAGCTGAAGGAACCCCGATTCTCTGCCAAACCTCAGTGCCGAGCCTAAAGGAGACGACATCTATGAGTGGGTTGACTGAACTTGACCCTCAGCTTCTGTGTATGAAGGTGGCGTGTTTTCTCTGGATGTCACGTTTGTCAGATTATCCGCTTAAGCCACCAAAGTTACTTCCTGCACCAGAACCTGTCACTGCAGTCGAGAGTCATTGTCTGAACATCCAAAGACAAGTGGAGTCCCGCTTTGACCATTTCGAAGGTTATCCCTTTTGACAGACTACAGGCCTGCGGATCCTCAGGTTGGGGGCACAGCCGCTCAGTGTTTGGCCAACAGAGCGGAACGTGACCGGACAGCCAGGCAGTGGACCAGGAGACACACAACGTGATGCATGTGATCCGAATGCAGCGTGAGGGAGCAGAAGGTGTCTCCTCACTGTGCTGCAAATCCTTACGGACGTCTGTGTGCACATTACACTGAGTCTACTCTCTGCTTTTATCCTTTGGAGCCTGGGAAACTCCCCAAAAAGGTAAATGCTGTCAAGTATAGAACTTTGTAGCTGTCCATCAGTTATGTTTAAAACACCCCCTTGCAAGTCTTCTCTGGGATGTCAAAGTGTATTTTGTGATGTACTAAGGATACAGGTCCTGAAGTCCACCAGACATTGCAGTGCATTTTAGCCTAATTCATTATCCATGTGAAGTTATAAAAGTAGCTGTAGATGATGAGGAATTACGTCATTTGTGTTAACCCCAGATCCACTTCTGAGTCTGTGGTTCGTGCTGATGGGAAAAGTGTTGTATGTTACCTTCTACCTTTGTCCGTTTGTAACAAGGGGCTTCCTTTTACCTTTGTTGCTCAGAGCGTACCTGATGTATGATCTCAAACACAATAAACGTGCTCCTGAAATAAAAGAAAGTATTAGCAAATCTAACCCAGCAATATATAAAAGGAGTAATAGTACACTACAACAAAAAGAGATTATTCTTGGAATGCAAGGCTGGTTCAATATTTGAAAGCCAATCAATGTAATCTACCGTATTAACAGTCTGAAGAAGAAAAATAATGACTATATCAATTAATACAGACAAAATTTGACATCAGTTTATAATAAAGTTCTCAGCAAACTAGGAATGGAAGGAAACTTAACTGGATAAAGGACATTTACAAAAAACCTGCAGCTGGTATCATACTTGACGGTGACAGAGTCAATGCCTTCCCCCAAGAGTGGGGACAAGGCAGGGACGTCCACTCTTATCTTCCTGGAGTGCCTAACCAGTGAAAAAAGGGAAGAAGAAGAAGTAAACAGATTGAAAACAAAGAAATAAAACCATCCCTATTGCCAGATAACATGATCAACTTTGTAGAAAATCCTAAGGAATCTATAAGAAAATTTCCTAAGAGTAATAAGTGAATTTAGCAAGAATACAGCGTGAAGGTCATCATACAAGAGTCATATTTTTATATCCCAGCAATGTACAACTGGAAACCAAAATTAAAGAAATAATACCATTCACTGTAGCTCCAAAAATATGAAATGCTTAGATGTTGAACAGAACGTGTAAGATCTATACACTGAAACTACAACATGCTGATGAAAGAAATCACAGAAGACCTAAATAAATGGAGAGACAGTTCACACACCAGAAGGCACAACCTAGTAAACATGTCTGTTCTCAAACTGATCTGTAGACTTCATAAAACTCTAGTTAAAATCCAAGCAGGAACTTTTCTATAGACATAGGCAAGCTCATTGTAAAATTTACGTGGAGTGTTAAAGGAACTGAGCTGTGGTTTGGATGTGGTTTGTCCCCACCAGACCTCATGCGAAGTCCGGCCCCAGTGTGGTGGTGGTGAGAGCCGGGGCCTCGGGAGGTGTTTGTGTTGTGGGTGGACCCCCGTGAACATCTGAGCGCCCTCCCTCTCAGGTGAGTGAGTTCTTGCTCCGTTAGTTCCTGCAGAGCTGGTTGATAAAAAGACCCCAGCACCTCCCCCCTCTCTTGCTTCCTCTGTGATCTCCGTGCATGTGGCTCTGTTTGCCTGAGGCCCTCACCAGATGCCCCATCTTGAACTTTTCCTACCGTGAGCCAAATAAGCCTCTTTGTAAATTACCCAGCCTCAGATATTCCTTTGTAGCAACACAAAAACTAAGAGAACTGGAATAGCTGAGACAACTTTTAAAAAGAAGAATACAGTTGGAGGAATTATACTACTTGATTTTAAAGCCACAGTAATCAGGACAGTGTGGTATTGGTGATGATGGGACAGACAAGTCAATGGAAGACAGAGAAATAGATTTCTACAAATGTGGTCAACTGATTTTTAACAAAGTCATAAAAATTCAGTGGAGAAAGATAGTCTTTTGAACAAATTATATTGGAATAGTTGGCATCCATATCAAAAAAACAAACCAACCAACCAAAAACCTCAACCTGAACCCTATAACACTTAACAGAAAATTGATCATAGATCTAGGTCTGTGAAATATAAAACAATAACATTTTATTTATTTATTTTTTGTTTTTCTTTTTTTCATGAGTATGGGGAAATTAAAAGGAGGACTCAGTTTTCTTCTCC